GAAAATAATCTAGTGTGAGCGTGTTCATTTGCGCACTCATTTATGACCATTGGATGCGGCATAAAGGAAGTGATGGATTCAGTGTGGTGAGCTCACGGTAGCTGAAAGAGCTTACCCAATACCAGCACACAAGGAGGCTTGAATCCAGCGCGTGCAAGTGCATAGTAAGCACGTGGGCGCGCGTGGGAAACTATGTTGGCCTAATTCGACACTAGAAATTAAAACGGTCATAACTTAGTCATTTTAAATCGAAATTGGGTCATTCTTGAGCTCAAATTCAAGGATTTTTCGTCTTCTTTCCAATGGTACCAATTTCATTATCAGATTCTTATCCTAATAAGAGATATTTACGTTTTAGTGAGACGGTGTCGGAAAACTATTTAAACCGGTATGGAGTATTTAAAGGAAACTATTTCTGACATATTTAGTTGCACTAATTTGGGTAAATATAATAAATTACTAATTTGTTATGGAAGGAAGTGTATATATATATATAGCTTAATTTGTCTATGAGTTGTATGGAAGGATGAATATATATATATATATATATATATATATATATATATATATGTATGTATATTGATTTTAAATAATCAAGGATTATTAAAGAAGGTGTTAAACACATATATACATTAAATAACATATGTGTAGGTATATATATATATAAATCATTTAAGATGATTAATATTATCATTCTTATTTGGCATATCTTAATAGGCTGGTTGTTAAATTAATGATATGCGTATAATATGCATGTGATGGCTATGTATGATTTAGCGTATTGTTAATTTTAAAGTTAATTCATGGTTAAAGTGTGGGCATGGATGAATTGTCAAATGATTAAACATATTACCTAAATATTTGTATGAATAGAATACATATATGGAAAGCATGGATGAATTGCTAATTAAATGTATGAATAAATATACCTGTGGAGGCATGGTTGAATTGCCAATGTATAAATATACATACACGGAGGCATGGTTGAATTGCCAATGTATAAATAAATATACTTATGGAGGCATGGTTGAATTGCCAATATATAAATAAAAATATTTACAATGGCATGGTTGATTTGCCAAAGCATAATTACGTTGTTATGTGTTAGATGATTAAAATATCATCTATGATTGTTGTATGTATGGATTGGATTAGGGTTAGATATTCTTAAATGAGAATAGTTTAGTACTTACTGGTTAGTGTATTATTTTACATTAATAAAATAATATTGGGGAAGACGTGGATGATTTGTCAAAACTTGGATTTTGGATATGTGATTTAAACAATTAAAATCATTATCGGGTTGGGATTAAATAGAGTATTTCTTTTATTATAATTTGTTGTTTAAATGATTAGACAACTGACTAGGATGGGATTAAGGTCAAAGGAGTTTTTATAAAATGAAATGGTAGATTGGTCTAGGTATGAATATTATTTTAATAATTATTTAATAGGTATGGAAATTTAATAAACCTATTAATGGATGTGATTAGTATAGTATATATAATTATATATAGACATGTATATCGTGCTTTATTAAAGTTAAAACTTTATTAGGTTTGGTTTTGATCAGAGATGATCTGCTTATTGGTTTTCAGAGGCCTGGTAGAGTGAACTTGCTCGTAGGGTTTAACCCACGATTTATTTTTCAGGTTATTAGAGGTTCCAGTCTCGAGGTTGAGGATCCGCAGCTGGGAGACTGTCATTCGTCTATTCATCTTGTGTACTTTTAAATAGTATTGGATTATTGGATAGTGTTTTAAGGGGTCCTTGAGTTATGGGATTTCCGAATTGTAATTGTTGGAGAATCATTAAGTAATATTTATTTATTAGTTTTCTTCAGCGGTTTATTTATTCTTTATTATTCATCTTTGTATTCTGTGCTTGTTAAATACTTAAATTGTTTTGATATCCCTTGATTTTGTGCGCGAACTTGATCAATCCGTGTTCCAAAATTAGGGGGTATCACATAATTATAATTTTTATGTGGCACACAACCATACTGTGATGGAAAGTCTATTTGCCTGCACCTATAATAAAATTATTTTTTGATTTATTTGGATTCCTTATGTTGTCTACATTATGCTTTTAACATATTATAAACATGATTTACTCTATCTTCTATGGTAACCTATCTCTTCTGGGATTTTCTAACCATTTTTTCCATATCTTAGTTTCTACACTTCCGGGTAATTTCTAAAGATACTTATCGATTAGAGTTTTATCACCTGTTTTGCCTGTGGCTGCGAAATACTCGAAAAACTTATTAGTATAATCCCTTATATATCTAAAATCGCAAATTTGTAGTAATTCTAAATTACGTAAAACTTCATTTTGCTTTATTAGGGTTTCATCTAATGATCTGTCTTCGCCAACTAACACCTTTTTTATTAGGCTGGTAAAACCTTGAATTGTAAAATTATCACATAAGAGGGCATAATCATTGGGATAAGTTACTTTGTAAGATTGCCACCAATTATGGATTGTTCCCCTTAATAAATTTTCACAATAAGTTAAGGCTTGTGTTTTATTATCAAAATTGATTAGAATAGATTGCCTAATACACTCTTGTTCCCAATTTTCGATTACTTTTGTCCAATCTTGGGGATCGTGTCGTGATATGTCTAAAATTGTTCCTGCTTGTTGCGTTGTTATATTATCGTAACGTCTACAATTTTATGTCCATGTGTACATATCTGATATATTCGATTTTCTACATAAGTGTCTTGTGTGGGATTTAACCGTTGTCCAGTAGTATAGTCATCGTTTATGGTATTTGTACTACCTGTGGCGTTAGGCATTTCTTGGTCAACTGACTAAGTAGCCGATCCTTCTAGTTCTTTACCTTCTCTATGTTCTACTAAATTTAATTCTTATTTTAATGCGCTCATATGTTGTATAAAAGGATTCAAGTCCTACGTTCAGAATATTTCTTTTAATATCATCGTTATTTCATTGTCCTAGGTAAATACTTTCTATAAGTTTGTATTTAGGCTTTGGATACTTATTTTGTAAGTCTTATACTTCTAAATTGTCAAAATTGTACATTATTTTATCTAGAACTCCGTCTCCTAGTTTTTTATAAAGGACATTTATTTCTTCGGGAGATTCTATTTCTACTAAAGTAGTTAAGAAATCTTCTTCGATATCATCTGTTAAATTATCTTGTCTTTTATAATTACTAAACCTTATACTAATTTCTCCACTATATTTTACATATATCACATTATTTTCGGGAATCTTTTTAGTTGTTTTAGTAAGATTTGGCAATTCATATTCTATTCCTTCATGGGTTATACTACTTACTTTTCTAGCCTCTATCATCTAGACATATTTGCTACCAAAAGGTTTAACTATTTCACTGAATTGAGCTTTGAACTTTAAATTATATTGATTAACCGTTTTTCCTATGAATAAAGTGTTAATTAATAAGTTTTCATATTGTCCAATCATATTATATCCCTTTGTGAATATGGCTATTTTTATATGTTTACTAAATTTTTTAATGGTCATCGTGAAATTAGGAATACATCCTATAATGGCGGCGTTGGCTGTTAGATCTATTTTAGCGCTAGCTATTTGTGTTTATTGATGGTTATTCTATCAATCATCATAAATATATGCGAGTGTTCTGGTTCTTACTTCTGATCTATTTAATCTTACTAATCCGATCATTATTACGCCTTAATGCATAAGTTCTGATTTACTTTTTCCAGCTCTTAACAAGCCTCTAGTGTTATGAGATCTAAAATTACCTGGTTATTTACTACACTTATCCTTCGCTGGCTAAGATGATTATATATCTTGCTATGAAAATTCAATAAATTATTAAAATAAAGATTAACTTTATTAGATACTTTCTTCATTCCTTTTTCTATATAATTTTGAGCATCGTGCTCATTATTATATAGATCTTCTATCCTCATTATTTCTTTGGCTTTTTTAAGGAAAATGACCATTCTCTATGTGGTTGTAAACGATTTACACGCTTCATGGTTTTAGTCGAGAAGGAATTAGTTGATAACTTTAAATCTTTTATTTTATCTGATAGTTCAGATAATTTTTTAGAAGATTCTCTAAGAATACTTTCTTGTATTACTTCTAATTTTTCTTCAAGTTTATTAACTTTTTCAGATAACTGGATTAAAAAGTTGTTTTGTCTAATATTTATATTAGTTGATTGTGCATCTGTCTTAAAATTTGTAAATCCTACTTGGTCTTTGTCAATTTTATAAAGTTCAGCTAAAGCTGCTAGATAATCAGGATTACTAGTGTTCATAAAACTATTGTAGTAGTATTTGGATATCTGTTTTCAAAGATTTTAAATATTCTATAGTTATTTTTTGATTTTTTATAATATTTCTAATATCATTTTTTATGTCTTTAATTGCGACTAATATTATTTTGTTGTCTTAGATTATTTGGACTAGAATTTTGGTCTATTTGGGTTTTGATATATTCTAGATTTTCTCTTAATCGTCTTATAGAGTTATCTAAGTTACTAAATTCTATTCTACTCATAAACCTAGCTAAAACCTTTGTCGTTTAGCTTCTAGAATATTCTGTATAAGAATAATTCTAGATCTAAGTTCTTCTATTCTTTGTTGAAGGTTATGCGTTGTATTACCGAGTTCAAGTGAAGTGTAACAGTTTTTAAGCGCTGTTTGAAGAAATTCTAGAATTTCTAAAAATCCTTCTTTGGTCAAACTGTGCATAAAATAAACTTTTAAGGGTAAAAATATAATTTTAACTTAATAAAAAATTCAAATTGAGTCTTCACTTTTGGTTCAGTAAATATGCAAACTACATCAATGATTCAGTAATATAGTTTTGCTAACACCGCTTATATGTAAAAGTCCCTTATTATTATTATTATGCTACCACCGCTTATATTTAAAAGTCCCTTATTATTATTATTATTATTATTATTATTATTGCACGTTTTTTTACCTAGAAACAAAGACATTTGCCCATCCTACATACTCAGTTACTTAACTGGGCTGGCATTGGAAGCCCTAGCTCGACGTCTCAGCCGTCACTGTAGCCGTTGTTCTCGCTACTTTCGCCGCCGGTGAGTTCGTTATATATATATATATATATATATATATATATATATATATATATATGTATTTATATTATCTTCGCAATTCCTTTGCCTGTTAACAAAAGGTTCAGTTGAATTGAGTACAATTCGTATGCCTTCCTTTTTAATCTTCATTTGGTCGTATGTTTTTTTCTCCTTCTTTTGGAGGGGTTTGTGGAGTTTTAATTAACTCATACTATGAACTAATTACAGCATAAGAAGAATGAAGATCACGCGTGTTTATTTATTTTCTTATATTTTCTTATGGTTAATTGATTCAAGAGTATCTAAACATATTTGGTTTTGTTGATGTGCTTAAATGTATTAAATTCAAGGAATCGTGTATATATATATATGTGTGTGTGTGTGTACAAATATATATATTTCAATAAAAAAAAATGTCACAGAGATCATAGCACATGGAACTTCCATTATATGTTTTGACAACAGTGTGCATCCTCTTGTTAGAGAATGAATTGTGTATTAAGAGTAGCAATCATCATCTAATTGGACTCTGATTTGGCTATTGATTCGAAAATGTAGTTTAGTTGATTTGATGATGAGTTCTCTTCTCCTACCACCAATCCTCGAACTCTAGACCCAAGGGTTGACCAAACAAGCCAGATTTGATAATGAGTTGTGAAAGAAATCCAGCACAAGAATCACGTGGACATGGGATTTTAATTTTACGATGCACTTTCGAACTTTGGAAGATATTATTTCAAGGAAAGAGAGGGTTGATTTCAGTGCGACATGGCAAAATCATCCCATTTTTAGTGGGTTCATTCTAAATGACATTTTTCACAAGCTTTTCATGCTTCTCCATGTATAAAGTTATTGATCTACCTTGACTGTGTGCCAATTCTAATAGAAGCATATCACAAATTCACAATGGACCATATTTTTAAGAGTAGTGGAATCCTTGTATGTGGCTGCGCTTTTCATTTCGATAATGTTAATTACCACCTGCATATTTTGTCAAATTCTCTTCGTTACAGATGGACAACTAAGCCTATCTTGAAGCACTGTAACACCAGCACTAGGTGACTAGCATGGATGAATAAAACTGATTGTCTTCTTTTCATTTTTTGTTTTATTCCAGCATAATTGTATGGTTGAATTATTCCGAAATAAGTTGAATGCTTTATTCACCTAAGTGAATGGATTTGATTCTAATAACTCATTTCCTTTTACCCCTTAATGTAAAATCATTCATTTTGAGTCTGATGACGTATGAATTGATTGCACATACCACTGCTTTTGTTATATGTCTCTAATGTGTAATTCATCTCAGTGTGAGTGTACTTTTCTATGTTAGATTTAGTATGTGCAACAATGTGGAAGAATGTCCTGCGTCAAAACACGTTGCTTATTGTCAGGCACTACTCAAGACTTTCTCCTCCACCACCTGCTTCTGCTGAACCAATCATCCAAGTTTCCAACCACATAACTCAATTGGGCTGTCCAAAACAGGGACCAAAGCCTCGGCAGCTCCTATCCTTGCCTCCATTCCCTGCGCACCCCTTACCTGGAAAGAACTCAGATAGTATTCCTGGGAAGCCCACTCATGTCACTGCCATTAGTTGGATCAAGTATTACTTTGATGAAATCCCTGGAAACACGATCCAGTCCCATTTCAACCAGGGCCTTGTGAGTGTAAGAACATTATCTTTTCTCCCTTTAAATTGTAGGTTTTATATTCTTTATTCATATTGGTGTTTCTGCATCAAATTTAACCTGAAATGTTTTCTTTTTCTGGAGCAAAGTTTTATACCAATCATACCAAGTAGATGCAATAGTTTGGTGTGAATTTATTGTTATTTTCATCTCCTCGTCTGTTAAAGAGCTTCAGAAAAAGTGTAACAGAATGTTCTTATAAAATCAACTGGCATCATTACATTTCTGTAGTGGACTCATTATAGATGTTCTCTGTATGAGATTTCATAGCTAAATTATGTTTATTATGTTGTTAGATGATTCTTGTGTTTGGAAAATAACAATCTTTGTTTTAACATTTTCTTACAGGTCCAGATGGAATGTCTAAATTCAAATGAGTCGTTGATGGAGAAAGGAGGACAAAGAAAACCCACGAGAAAGGTAATGGTACTTGTTTATTGAGCTAGTTGTTGATCAAAATTTCACAGCTATAATTTTTAACTTATTGCATACATTTAAAACTGAAGACCTGAAGTTGTCTCTCACTCTTTTTGTGTGCTTGTGTTCATGCATATTGTTTTACGTCGTCACAACTGTACACATTACTTTGTTGGTTTAATTATTCTACAATTCTACAGCTAACATACAGATTAAGCATAATGAGGTAATGGAGGTGGGGATGAGGCTTCACGTACCGGTATCAGTTGCTGAGGCTAGGATTTCCAAGAGATTTGACACCATACCAAGTGGAACACTATACCCAAACGCTGATGAGATAGATTATTTGCAAAGGCTTGTCAAGTACAAGGTATGTCTTTAGTTCAAGTGCTTATTCATCTTATTTAATGCAATTTCAGTGTGCATATGAATTTCTAGGTCCCTGACTTGTCAGTTCCCCATTTTCACAGTAGCCATACATTATCAGTCTCATTTTCTTTTTGTTCCCCCCCTCTATTGGTTGTTTTGGTATGACAATATAGATACCTACTTCTGCATGCCAATATGATTGTGTTTTTGTTCCATTTTGTAGTTGTGCCTTCTGTTTTCCTCTGATTATTGGTTTGTTAAAATATCAGGATTCTGCTATAATCGTACTAAATAAACCCCCCAAATTGCCAGGGAAGGTTAGCTTCTCTATGGTCTATTCTCCTCTCTCTCTGACTACTGCGTTCAAAGTTTTTTATTGTTATTATTTTTTGAACTTTTGATTGTTTTATATATATAATTATGTTATTAGGGGAACCTTCCTGTTCATAACAGCATGGATGCCTTGGCAGCTGCAGCATTGTCTTATGATTATGATGAGGGTCCTAAGTTGGTAAGCTTCTTGTTTTGGATAATGAGTTGAAAGACCGATAGTATTAAAAAAAAAACTCTGCTGAATTTTTTCTAGTTTCATCCTGTTGATAGTCAATAACAAAAACTTAATCGAGTGAAGTTGGGCGCTATTGTCTTATTTAGGTATGTATTTATGATGTAATACTTTATACAAGCTCAGTAATTTATGATTTGGGTTTCTTTTTTCTCATAAATGGAAATTCATTGAAAAAACTTAGAAGAAGGGTAGGGATGGTGTATAAGACGCCATCTTAACCTATAGAAAGCAAGATGGTAAGTACGATTGAAATTAAGCCAATCCTTGTACAACTACCTCAAAGTACATGGAGAATCCTTACTGAAAATTTAGTTTTCAGTCCTTAAAGCCAATTCTGGAAATGCCTTCAAAGCTTCCATATGAAAACATTTCTGAAGTTCCTTTATCTCCAAAGGTTCCAAATGGAAGTGAAATAAATGGTTGGCAAAAATAGCTTGAATGCCCCGTCTGACCGTAAATCAGGAAACATATTGTGTTAAATGTGAGCCATTTGGCCACAACCAAAAAAAAGATGATGGAGATGAAGAACAACAAAGCAATGCAGAATATCTCTCAAGCTTAATTATATATCTAGGTTAAGGCAAGGTGAGACTTAAGTGACTATCCATGACCCAGGCTTTATCTTTGAAAAAGCTCAAAAGAATGTTTTTAGCGCATATTTTTCATAGTTTAGATTTTTTATCAAAGGAATTTTCAAAGGCTCATTCAAGATTATGACTTAGTATTTGGAAAAATAGCAGAAGACATTGTGTTCCGATTGATGTTGGGCAAAACCTTCGATCAAGTGAAAAATATTACGGGATGTTTATTGTTTGAAAATCTTTCAAAGCAGAATTTTAATAGGACCTATTTTCTTATTCCATAACAGGATTGTTGTATTGGCTATAAATGGGTGGCTATAATTACTCTACAGTATCTCATAAACCTTTTAACTCTCTACATATTATTGAGAGGATTTATATCTTTTGAGATTTGATTTAGGGCCTTTCATTGACTAGCATAGTCTTTGTTTTTGAGAGAATCTAAGCAAGTAGCAGATTAGAAACTACCAAACACTACCAACAGGCCTGTGGCCCAGCGGTACAAGGCTCCTACTTCCCAAAGGGAGGTCAGGGGTTCGAACCTTAGTGGAGGCAGTGTGTGTGAGTCCCAACTAGGAAAAAAAAGAAAAAAAAGAAAAAGAAGAAGCTACCAAACAATCAAACAGGTGGTTTGTAAAGAACAAGTTAAAGGGATGTTACTTGTCATCAAAGATCAAAGGCCTTGGTAGAAGAGCAGATTCGTTTACTAGCAGCTGCGTAGTTCAAGGAGAATGTCTGGGTGAGTCTGGCTCAGAGGTAACTAGGATTTTTTGGCAAAAAGGAAAAATGAAAGCCTCTTTGTTTTCCGGACCTCTAGTGAGAATACTAGGTTAATATTATGATACAAATACATGATTAAATAATAAAGGAGAGGTTAAATAGCTCTTTCATTCTCTCTCTATCCTGTGTGTGTGTGTGAAAGAGTGAGAGAGAGCTAGTAATGGAGTTCATTTGGGATCATGCGATCTAGTATGAAGCTTTTGATGGTAACAGCGACATTGGTCCAGCCCTTCTTTTTTTTTTTTTTAATTTTATTATTGTTTTTTATTTTTTATTTTTATTTTTTTTGCACATTGATTTTCTTATCGGTAGTTATTTCAATAGTTCTGAAAAAGTTTTTGCTATTCTTATGATTTTTTCCTCCAGTTCTACAGTAACTTATTTAATTTTATGATTGTATTCTGTTCCAAAAAGAAGTATTTGCATTGGGTGTCTGTTTGTTCCATTTGGGAATGCTTGCTTCTGGCTTATGTTTGTAAAGCTGGTGTGATCATGCATATTACTGTATATGTCAAATGTTAGCTCCCTTTAAAGCATTTCTTGTTGCTATTTCTCATATGACTACTTTGTTAGGTTCATCGTCTTGACAGAGAGAGTAGCGGCCTCCTTGTTATGGGGAGAACAAAAGAAATGGTAGCTCATCTTCAGTGGCTGTTCAGTGACATAAATAAAGTAAAATCCTCATCTAAGGTATTCATATCCTTCCTCATCAATCTATATCGTGCAATAAATGTCACTTTTAAGGGGAAGGTTGTGCAAAGAGTTGCACGGTATATTTAAGTGAATAATGCTATAATTACCAATTAATACTACCTTAGCAGTAAAAAGATGGGAAAAAAAAAAAAGATCCACCACATATAAAGTAGTGTCACGCATTTTAGGTATTCCATGTGACACACACTCCCTTATATCTATAGGTATAAGAAAATGCGGCAACATCAAACAATAAGGATCACACTTGTCAAATTAGATGCTGCAAACTTTTTTCATGTATAAAATATATTTGAAAGTATGATGTGGGTAATGTTAGGCTTGGAATGATGAATGTGAAGCAACATATCAGAGGTATTGGGCATTGGTCATAGGTTCTCCCAAGGAAAAGGAAGGCTTTATATGTGCCCCTCTTTCGAAGGTTCTCTTTCTCTCTCTCTCTCTCTCGTGTACATATTTGCGTATGAAAATTGAAGGATCTCTTGGAGGATCTTACTTCATCAAGAATTGACACAATGTAAATGTTTTTATTGTCATTAATTGCAGGTAATTCTCGATGATGGGAAAACTGAGAGGGTTATTTTGGCTCATCCCTCAGGTTTAGAACCTTCCCAAGAGGCTGTAACTGAATATCGGGTGCTTGGTCCCATGATAAATGGATGCTCATGGATTGAATTGCGTCCACATACAAGCCGGAAACATCAGGTACTTTTCTCTTCCACCAAGATGCGTTTGATATATCCATCTGTTTGCGAGCAATGTAATGTTCTTCGTGGTGTGAGGGTCACATGGAGTTTATACTTCACACCTCAAATGGCATTCTATCAGCTATTTAAATTCTCTCTCTCTCTATATATATATATATATGTATATATATGTATGTATGCATGTATTTATGTATTTCTTTTTTCATCTATAAGGCATGTAGGGTTTTCAAATGCTTTAGAAGTTCGAATCATTTTTGTAGCTTTAGTCGCCCATCAACATGTTTGGTCTTCAAAAACTTATTTTTCAAACTCTTCATGGGAGTTAAAATTAATGTCATTCTTTGGGGATCAGAAAACTGTTAAGGTAAGTTGGTAACATCATGGGCTTTTGTGTGTGAATTTTTAATCTTCATTGCAGCAGTTCCTTAAAACTTTCTTACTAAAACTTTTCAAATATACCGGTGAAATGGCATGTGCAATATTTTAGTATAAATGTTAGGAAACCAAGAATTTTCATCATTATAATGTTTAGTTTACCATCATTGTTATAATTATTTTTGGAAAAACAGTGTGCTAGAATTATGCCTTTGAGGCCTCGGTGACTCAGTTCTGCATCCTTAAAATATCGACATGAATAGTCAATTCTTCTCTCTTCTTGCAGCTCCGTGTGCATTGTGCTGAAGCTCTTGGCACACCAATTGTGGGTGACTACAAGTATGGTTGGTTTGTGCACCGTAGATGGAAGCAAATGCCTAGGGTTGATTTTGAGCCGACAACTGGGGAACCCTACAAGTTGCGGAGACCAGCAGGCTTGGATGTTCAAAAGGGAAGCGTCTTATCTAAGGTGCCCTTGTTGCATCTACATTGTAGGGAGCTTGTCCTCCCCAATATTGCAAAATTTCTTGAGTTTCACAACCGAAATCCAGAAAATGGCCATGGGAACCCGAACCAAAACTCAAAGCCGGATCTCCTTCGGTTTGTGGCACCAATGCCCTCCCGCATGAAAATTAGTTGGAATCTCATGTCCTCTTACTTGGTGTAACCACACTTGATTTGTTTATTAACATCAACTTCACAACTGTAGTACTGTGACCTGATTTGAATGGTGTACAGTAATTTTGATTGTGAATTTGATTCTTGATTTGGTAAAGAACAGTGAGTAACCTGCCCGTTAAATATATATATATATATATAGAGAGAGAGAGAGAGAGAGAGAATAAAAGCGGAAAGAGAGTGCAGTGAGTAAAACTAGCCGCTAGTATCACATTGCTGATATGCTGATGCACAAGCTTGCTTACAGGTGGCCGCCGGCTGGCTAAAAATTGAAATAGAATAAAATAGGAATACTTAATTTTTTAATTGATGAATCACTTGTTATAAAATAATAAAAGGAAAAATTACCACTAAGTTTTACTCTGCTTTTAAACAGTGGAAATGGCTCCATCTTCCTTCTCGTCGTTTCCCTAAAAAAATAAATTATAAATATAAATTTCATCTAGATAAAGACTACTTATACACAATTATTTCAATTGCACATTTGTATTAAAAAAATTATACTTTGATAATGTGGAGCAAATATTCAGGATCTTGGGATTGGGGGTACCGAAAATATAAAAAATACCCTGCCAAAATTAATTTGCTATTTCCTACCTAGGATATTAATATATATATATTTTTTGATAATGTGAAAACAAATATACTTTGATAATGTGAACACGCACTATAAAAAAGTAAGGGTTAATTTCATAAAACTCCCATTATTTTCAAAATTTGATAATAAACCTCTAACATTTCAGAAGATCCCCTACATTTTTTAAAAGTGATCAAATTGGCCTAATATTCGTATCTGACCTGTTAACTTGATTGTGAAATGACAAACTTAACTTTACTATTTAATGTTAAATTTAAAACTAAAAATTATTATTTTAAATTACAAAAATAATTTAGAGGGGTGAGTTTGAGAGAGGGGTGGTGAAGAAGATAATTAAAGGGTATTTTTGTAAATTTTTTAAAAAATATTTTTAGTTTTAAATTTAACATTAAATAATAAGGTTAAATTTGTCATTTCACAATGGGGCAATTTGATCACTTTTTAAAGTGTTTTGAAACATGTTAGAATTTTATGATAAAAATTGAAAGCAATGAGTATTTTATGGAATTAGTCCAAAAAATAATTACTTAAAATAAAGAAAAACTCAGTTAAATTGAAACTTTTATCAATAAAAAGATGTGCGTGGTGAAAGTTGCAAGTGAATGGAACCTTCCTGTCTCCTTTTATAAACCTTCCCATACTAGTCATTTCTTCTCTTTCACCTAACAACCTCAAACACCACCACCACCACTACTGATGCCACCACCTCGCCATGGAGCATGTCACAGGGCTAAATTACACCACAAATTTTTGCCTCTGCAATGGCACTTGGGGCCACCAAGTCTCAGCCAATAACAACACAATACACACAGTATAGAAATGTAAAGAATGCACACACAGTTTACAGGGACAAACCCCAACCTTTGCTCATATTAAACATATTACAAAGGAACATGAGTTCGTACAAGGAACAACCAAGGCTCACACCCTCTTCTCTGTCCCCTCTACAAAGCCCACCTTAGCATTATATAGGCCACTCTCAAAATCGCCCATAACTGCCCACTAAGATGATGGATGACACCCCCATCCACCTAGGGTCGTGCTGGCACCCTCTAAATGTGCCAGCACTATAATGCAGTTGACAAACCCAACTGCTAGACTTGTTGGCATGTTCTGCTCATGCTACATAACCACAAGAAGTTACATTCTGCATAGTGGAGGAAACCACCCTTAACCGCCTGTGTGTTGGTCCTCTTAGAATTGTGCCACATGTTTGGGAGGTTACTCAGCACTCCCCCACTTCCCATGATGAGTGGGAAGTGCTAGTAACTTCCCCCAACCGACCGAGCCCACTAAGCCACCACCTCTTGTAACCGCAAGCCATGACTTTGTGTTGTCCATGCTCTAGCCACATCTGAGTCAACCTTGTAAACCTAGCCCAAGCCAAGTCCACCAATCTGCACCCACATATATATGTCTCTGAGTGCACAGCGTGCCAAGCCATGCACGCCTGTGCGCACGCTCGGGTGCACACCAAAGTGCACGCCAGCGCACACACTAGTGCCCTTCTTCGCGCGCCATGTTTAAACCCTTATGCGCCCGTGGCTGTACACCCACCTGGACGCCCATGCACACGCCGAGCTAGACGTTCGCACACACTAGGTTAGACGCCAGCCCGCGCGCCCACCTGCACGCCCGCACGCGCGCCGCTGCACACCAACGCACGTGTCGGTGCCCACTTGTTTGCCCTTCAATATCTTGGATGCTCCCCACTTGTGCAACCATCTTGGAGTGGTGCAACACGTGCCCATGCACGTTGGCTAAGCCCTCTAAGCAAGCCATGCCATAGCCCAACCGATGTGCTCAACAGACCCCCCCTAATATAGTCTTATGGAAATCCAGCATTCTGACAGGAGTAAACATCACCCATGCTTGAGGAGTCAGAATGGCCTTTCAGACCTTTCTCGACATCCAAATTGAGTGCCGTCTGCGCCAACCAGCTTCTATGGACTCAAGGTACCTCCCCTAAAGATCCCGAGTCAAAACTCCAAGTTTCACTTTTCGCCATATTTACGAAAGTGCCACTGGGCACCCCCAGTGCACGCCGAGCATCCTTTTAAGCATCTTGTGTGCACGCTGAGCATCTTGTGCACGCTGACAACCCACTGAGCATTCTCATGGCTGTCTAACCAAAGCCAAAGTATTCCCAAGACATGGCATGGCCTTGAAATGCCCATGTCTTCCCTTGGACAACCGTCAAGGGGCTAACAAACCACCCCCACCAGAAGAAGTCGACGCCCTCGTCGACTTGTCCAAGTACTCCCTTACCTGTTTCTCAAACTGCCATAATGTCACATCCCTTTCCCAACTCGCCTCTGCTTCACTGCATCCTTTCCATTGCACCAAGTAATCAGTTCTGCGATTTTTCTTACTCTGACCCTGGGTCCGGTGAGACAAAATCTTCTCCACCTCCTTGTTAAACTGCAACTGAATAACAAGTGGGGCTCTCTTAGCCTGCTGTCTTGATGTATCTGCAGTGTCCTCATGAAAAGGCTTGAGGAAACTCACATGAAAAGTAGGATGGACCTTCAGTCTCTCAGGTAACTCTAATCTGTAAGCAACATTCCCCACTTTCTTCACAACTTCAAATGGACCATCATACTTCTGAATCAGCCCTCTGTGAACAGTCTTGCTGCTTATCTTCTTCCAAATCTGTGGAGTCAACTTCAACAGAACCTTGTCTCCCACTTGGAACTCTAATGGCCTTCTCCCTTTAGCTGCATACTTTTTCATCCTTCTCGCAGCCTTGGCAAGGCTATCCTGTGCCTCCTCCACCATCTCTTGCATGGAACGGGCATATCGGTATGCTACAGGGCATCTTCCACCAGTCCTCTGCACTGCCACCTCCTGTGGTGTACGAGGTTGTTGCCCTGTTGCCAACTCAAATGGACTCATTCCTGTTGCTGAAGACCTGTGCAAATTATAAGAGAATTGTGCAGTGTCTAGCAACTCCAGCCAATTTTTCTGACTTGCTGTGACATAGTGCCTCAGATATTCTTCCAATAACTGGTTCATCCTCTCAGTCTGTCCGTCAGTCTGAGGATGGTTTGCTGTGGAGATTTTCAATTCAGAACCCATCAAGCCAAATAGCACTGTCCAGAACCTTCCCGTAAATCTGGTGTCACGATTACTAACAATATCTTCGGGCAAGCCAAAATATTTCACCACAAACTTATGAAATAAACCAGCAGCAACTTCCGCTGGGCATGCATGTGGTGCAGCAATAAAAATTGCATACTTAGAGAATCTATTTACAACCACAAAAATAGATCTCATACCTTCCACCTTAGGAAAACCAGAAATGAAGTCCATTGAAACTGACTGCCATGGACGCTCTGGTATAGGCAAAGGTTGCAGTAGCCCTGCCTCCTTCTTCCTTTCATGCTTGTCTTTCTGACAGACCAAGCAAGTCTTGACATATAACTCTATGTCATCCTCCATCTTGAGCCAGTAATATGATCTGGATATCAACGCCAGCATTCTATCCACCCCTGGATGTCCAGCCCACTGAGGATCATGCATTTCCCGCATTAGTTCCCGTCTCAAACCTCCAACCGGAACATATAATCTACCTCCTCTGGCGTAGAGTAGATTATCTTCAATCCAGTACTTTCTGACTTCACCATCAGTAACCTGTTGCTTTAGTTTCTGATAGGCATTGTCGGACTGAGATTGCTTTTTGATTCTGTCAAGGAAATCAGTATACACCGTTGTCAACGACGCCACATACTCCTGCACTTCTTTCCTACTCAAGGCATCAGCAACCTGATTCTGCTTTCCAGGTCTGTGAACCCACACAAAATTGAACTCCCCAAGAAACTCTTGCCAACGAGCTTGCTTTGGAGTAAGCTTTTTCTGTGTCTTGAAGTAGGTATTGGCTACATTATCAGTCACCACTGTAAACTTAATACCCAACAGATAGTGCTTCCATGCGTCAAGACAATGTATCACTGCAGTCATCTCCTTCTCGTGAGTTGTATACCTCTGTTCAGCATCCTTAAGCTTCCTGCTTTCAAAGGCACATGGGTGTCCTTCTTGGACTAGGACCACACCAATTGCTCTATCAGAGGCATCAGTATGCACTTCAAATGGCAAACCAAAGTCAGGCAGTCTCAAGACCGGTTCTGTAGACACTGCCTGCTTAAGCATCTCAAAAGCATTTTGGCACTCCTCAGACCAAACCCACTGTTTGTCCTTCTTCAGCAAGTCCGTTAAAGGACTAACCTTCTTGGAATACCCCTTTATAAACTTTCTGTAGTAGTTTGCCAACCCTAGAAAAGATCTCAACTCTGTCACTTTGGTAGGTGCAGACCAATCAAGGATGGCTTTCACCTTTCTCTCATCCATTCTGACATGGCCCTTACTGATCCAATGCCCCAAAAACATCACTTCTTGGCGACAAAACTCACATTTCTCCTTTTTGACAAATAACTGAAACTCCTTCAGTTTTGAGAAAACCAATCTCAAGTGTTTTAAGTGATCTTTCAATGACTCACTATAGA